AAAAAAAAAAAAAAAAAAAAAAAAAAAAAAAAAAAAAAAAAAAAATTTAAGAGTATGCCGAAGTGATTCAGGCAAGTCACAGTGCACCCAAGAGACACTCCAAGGACACTGCTGAGACAGTTTCCACCAGGAGAGGGGACAAAGAGGGTAAACAGAGCGCCTCCTTTCTGCAGAATTCTGGGACGGGCCTTGAGTGTTGAGAGGAGAGATCAATAAAAAGAAGCTTTAATCATCTGGGCTCATCGGGGTGGTCAAGGCATCTATGACCTAATTGTGGGGACAGGAAAGAGCCAGAGAACATGTACAAAACAACACGTAACAAACAGCACAAAGCAGTGAAACCAGAGCCTATCAATGTTCACACAGATCGGGGAACAGGGTGTTAGAATCAGGCAGGCTTAATCAGAAAACATCCCAGAAAGAGGTGATTTCTGACCTCAGCTTAGAAAAGAAGGTGGCACATCAACGGATGGGAGAAAAGGCAGAAGGGAAAGGAACAGATCTGACCTGCCGCAGGCTCTCAATAAATGCCTGAGGGACGGCCCTGAGAGGAACTGCCTGGAGAACTGTCCCTGTCTGAGCTCAGAGGCTGCTGCGATACTCTGGAGCAGGGAGTTGGTGTCAGGGGAGCCAGAGGCTGCAGAATGACCATAGACCATCTGATGAAGCTCTATAACAAACTCTGCTTCAGAAATATGACATTTTGTACGGTCCAGCCCTACTAGGGCCGTGGCGTGTCCCCTATCACTGTGCTGAGGCACTGGATCCAAGAAATAAGGAGACAAAACACCTAAGGACTGGATAAGAGCAGCTGGGCTCGGGGGCCAACGCCACTCACAAGCGGAGACAGGCAAGATCCCGAGTGTCCAGGCACATCTGTATTTATTAGGTGTAGGTTAGGAAGGGTAGTGAGTGAGGTCATCTTAAGGATAGTGATAGGGCCAAGACAATCATGTGAGCAATAAAAAAGGGGCCCATCCCCATTAGGTCACCGAGGCAAGGAGTGACCTAATGGGGATGGGCAGTGTGCAGCAAGAAGGATGCAGTGTGCAACATCTCTTATCTAGGGGCAGGCAACTCCTAAGGTTTTCTATAGGAGGATGTTTTGAGTCAGCACAGTAGCAAGAGAGCTGGCAGGGTATGCAGCCAACGAGGCGCGGTTATACTGGAGGGGTTTTAAGCCCTCAGAGGTTCGTGGGATTGCTGGCCTGAGGCCAGCTTTCCACAAGAACTGGTCGCAAAATACTACAACTGGGTTACAGGAGGAGTGACTCTTGCTCCAAGCCTGCCATACAGGGGATATCCTTACGATACTGAATGCTGCTGCTAGGGCCGGCCTGCCATGTAGCACATGCCCTTTCAGGCAGGGGCACTACTGCCTGGGCCATTGATTCTTGTCCTGGTATGGCTGATTTTTCCCTAGTTCATGCTCTGTACCGTGTCTGCTGTTGACAGTCCTCTGACTACAAACTAAGATATGATCATATAAAAGGATTATATAAAAGGAAGTATATGAGTAGTAAGTTATTCTTCAGGCACTAATTGTGCCAGGGGTCTGCTTAGCTCTTCTTCCTCGGTGCCCAGAAGGGGGGTTACCCATACATTTGATAGCAAATATATCACAGAGGCTAACATTAGAACCCACCCTGATTGCTTACATCAGGGTAAAAGCATTCTTGGAGAGTGTTGTTGAACAGTAGATTGGAACATGTGAGTCTACAAAGTGACTTACAGAGCTTGGAACTTCAGCAGTGCACACAACTGCTCAGATGCCCTCCAGTACAGAGGAAGGCTGATGTCGCCTCCTGAGGAGTTTGAACCAGTAAGCTAATGATTGGGGTAGCTAACAATTTGACCTAATCCTCAAAGTCATTGCAAGCCACCTAGAAATAAAATGGCCTTTTGTTGGTCATATTTCCATGAGCTTCAAGGGTGAGCTCTCTAAATCAGTACAGATAGTCACCTGTATTGAGTAAGCACCCTTTGAGGAGCACAGCTTCCAGTTCAATGAAGTCACATTCTCCCATGTTATATGTTGGAGATTGGTACCTCCTGGGAACAATCATACTGCTTCGCACTGGATTTCTCCATGGACGTGGGACAAAGATTTTTCCAAAATTATCTGATAATAAGGCACAGAAAAACTGATTTGCTATTGGCAACCAGTAGATGGTTGATTACATACTCACAATGACCCAGGACTATAGACCCATAGACCATGATAAATATGACCTGTCTTCAATGAGTTCTTATTCTAAAAGAGCAAGCATCCAAATGCACACCATGGGAACTGCAGCAAAATTCCATGAGCGTCTTGTTAGCCACCAGACCTACTAGGGTGAGGAGGTATTTTATGCTCAACATCAGTGGGTTTCTTTGCTTCTGGAATTAGGACAGATTGCTGGGCTCTGAGGCACTCTCAAGAGGCCTCCTAATCCATGCCCCCAGATTCTAAACCAGAACCCCGTAAAGTAACCATAGCTCATGTGGCTTTTTGAGGTCCTACTAGGGTCCTTAAACACTGACTCGTGTGTCTTGCTGCCTTTTGGGTAGGAATTCCTACACTCATTTCCTCACCCTGCAGGAGAAACCGCTTGTTCTTTGCCCTTCCCAAATCTCCGTGGGCCTAGAGAGAACCAAGTGTATGTCCAGGTATCTCAGGAGAACTGGGTCAGGTGAGGGACCAAGACTCTTTGGAACTTGAGGACTCACAAGCTCAGAGCCTGGGTGACTTTCCTAGCCTTCCCCCTGAGTCATTACTGCTTCGTATCCTCCAGGAGAGTTAAAGAGTGTGCACTGGATCTCAGCAATTTTTGGCAAAAGGGCCTTACCCTAATTCTTCCGCAGGAGCTGTCAAGTCAAGCGCAGCCCAGGCCAGGTCCACTTTTGGCTCCACACTGCCACCTTGCGGCCCCATGGCAAACTCCAAGACACTTTGCTTTTCCCATTTAAACTGAGTGCAGGATGGCCCCTTCCCCTAACCACCTCAGCCTTTCACTCAAGACAAACACACTTGAATTGTATCTTGCATATCCCATTATTATTGCCCCCAGAAAACTAAAGATCCACAGAAATTTCCTGGATATTAAATCTTTTTATTGGTGAATTTCAACCTGGGTTTCTGACCCAGGGATGATTTGCTACAGCCTGGGCTGAATCTATAGCCCCATAGTAGATAAAAGACCGATTTACATGTGAAACACAGACACAGTATCTGCAAAAGTACAGCCTGAACCAAACAACGTAGCTAACGATTCTGAGAAATCCTCATAGTCAACTGATGAACCCCTCCTGCCCTCCTCTGTCCTGCCTGCCCCTCATGTCCTGCTCGTACATAGGTTTTAAGGGGCTAAAGTACTGTCATTCACAGTCACAGGATGGCATACACATTTTATACAAGTGCCCAGCCAGAGACAGCATTGTTCGGTTTCTCCTGGGGTTTGCCGTCAGAAATGGGATTTGCCCCAGAGGGCACGGAGCCCCCTCCTTGCTTCCACAGAGTCCCTCCTCCTTGAGCCCTATCCAAGGCTCTTCCACCAGCCCAGATTGTCCAGGTGAGCCTCCTACAAGTCCTGCAGACCTTTCACTCGTAGATCCAATGAGATCCACTACTTCCTTCAGGAGCTTCCTGGAATGGGTTCCTGAGGCCCCCAGCCAGTATGCAGTTGCTCCCCATTGGCCGTATCACAGGACAGAACGAGCTTTCTGGAAAAGATCAAGTGTAGCCTTTCCATGGGAGGAACAAGGAGGGTCCCAAAGCCGCCACCGCAGGTAAATCCCTCTTGTGCGATGCAAAACTGAAAATACCATAGAAAATACCATAAGTAAGAGGGGGTCTCTAGAAGGCAAAGGGTAGACAAGGAAGGTGCTTTATTCAGCCTAGACCCCAGGTATGTCTCCTCTTTTCCTCTCTGTAGACTCTCCTGGGACAGGGCTCTGGAGGTCACCTACCAGATGCGATCCGGAGCCGCGCCGTTATTCCCGACTCTAACATCTGTTGAGTGTTCTATCTATAGCTACAGTTTAACAAATCCCTCCCAACAAAGTGGGCATTGCTATTTCTATTTCATAAATGAGAAAAGCATTGCTCAGGGAGAGTGGATACCTTACTTAAGTTGAGACAGGAAGAAAAGGGGTGAGATCAAGATCCAAACCCAGGTCTTTGGGGTACACAGGTGGTGTTCTTTCTACCTCCCAGTCACCATGAAGAACAAAGATTTACCAACTCTAGGCATTAGGGTCAGAAACTGTGGTCTAAAGATGGGGCATGGGGGTGGAGAGGCCGCTTATGGAAGCAGGAGGAAGAGCAGATTCAACAGCCCTAGCTGGCAGGGGAGGCCTCTAAGCCCACTCCACCAGGGCAGATAGACAGGGAAGGAGTATTAGATGTCAGGGGCTGACATGGGCAGCAGAGACTATGGGTCCTCTCATCTGCCTGAGCCGTGGTCCCAGGAGGCCCTCACTCTCCAGTTCTCTAACACTGAAGGACTGGGATGCTTTGCTCACTTACAACATTCAGCAAGGCTCTTTTCTTTTTCTCTCTTTCTGTCTTTTTTGAAAGGTGTCACATATTTATTACTGAATCCAGCCAACCAATGCGTTCATAACAGATTCAGAGAGGAAATTCTGCTCAAAATTCTCCAGATAGCAGTGACATCTTCAGCTTGATTTGGTAACACGATTGTGACCTTCAGACAGCATAAATATGTGTGTCATCTCATGTGTAATTCCTTATAGACCCAGCTTGGTTCTTCTCCAATGTCTCCTTCTGGAGTTGTACCTGATTTTATCACCAGTTTTCATCAGAATCCACTGGGGAATGGGACGATTTTGCTTTTGTTTCTTGGCCAGGAATCGCTTAGTTCTGAAAGTCTTGTGAGAAGACATGGCCGAAGTGAAGTAAAGCACACACCACAATGGCAGAGAAAGGAAGAGAAAGGAAGAGAGAAGTCTTTTTTCTTTTTCAAAGCCTCGGGAGGCTTCTTAGAGCTGAGTGGCCTCTTAAAAAAGTATATCTGCAAAGCCACAGTCATTCCTCAAAACTTCCCTGGGAGTCAGGGGTAGAGAGTAAAAGTGTTCCCTAGAGATTCCCTCGGGAGCTCTTCATTAGATCAGTAAATCCTGACGTTAGTATAGAGCTCATGGCTTTACAAACGACTTTCATATCCACAGTCCTATTCGATTCTTAGAACCAAGCTAGTAAGGACTGGCCAGCATTTTATTGATGTGTGTCATTGTTGGTAGTAGAATGAAGATGCAGCTTTCCTGATGTTTCAGCTGATGTCTTTTCCACCGGCAAGGCTCTCTCTTCAATTGGGGAATCAGAATTGGGGTGGGGAAGCTACCCCATGGTAAAAGTCCCCTGGAGATAATGAGGAAGAGCATGGCACAGTCCCAGATTCTGCCTTGGTCTGCAGGCTCTTCCTGACGCGGAGGAGGATTCAACATCCCAGATGAGGACAAAAGTGGACAGTATGGCCATGGTGGGACCCGCCATCACCAGAATTGAGTCAAAAAGCATATAAATGTCATTGTTATAAAAATCCAACAACTCACGGCCGGGCGTGGTGGCTCACGCCTGTAATCCCAGCACTTTGGGAAGCTGAGTGGGCAGATCACAAGGTCAGGAGTTTGAGAACAGCCTGGCCAACATGATGAAACCCTGCCTCTACTAAAAATACAAAAATTAGCCAGGTGTGGTGGTACACACCTATAGTCTCAGCTACTCAGGAGGCTGAGGCACGAGAATTACCTGAACCAAGGAGGTGGAGGTTGCAGTGAGCCAAGATCACGTCACTGTACTCCAGCCTGGGTGACACAATAAGACTTCATCTCAAAAAAAACAACAGGCCGGGTACCATGGCTCAGGCCTGTAACCCCAAAACTTTGGGAGGCCGAGGCAGGCAGATCACGAGGTCAGGAGTTCGAGACCATCC